TGACACCCTATTCTGGTCTCCTAGGGCATGTGGTACATAGACATACATTCAGTCAAATACTCATACATATAAAAATAAATTTTAAAAAATTTACTTATCATTTTTATGTGTATAAGTGTATTGCCTGCAAGGATGTAAGTATACCTGTGTCATGCAATGCTTATGGAGGTCAGAAGACAGCATCAGATCCCCTGGAACTGGAGTTATGGGCCGCTGTTAGCCACCATGTGGGGGTTGAGAAACTAACCTGGGTCCTCTGCAAGAGCAACCAGTGCTCGTCACCACTGAGCCATCTCTCTGGCCCCATAAATTGTTTTTAAAAGCACATTTCTGAGTTTTCTCAGCTTCAAGTATAGATGTCCGGACATGCTCTGTTCAAGGTCACTTATCACATGTTCAAAAGGGAAGGATGGCAGAAGTTAGCACCTCTGGATAGAGAATTTAGTGTTATAATGAGCAAAAGTTACCCTAGGTCAACCGAAAAGAACGAGTCAGACTGACATGGGGCCTCAGTGATTCCTCATAAATTTCTCCAGAGTTCTAATTGAAACAAAAGTAAGAATGGCTTTGAAGTTGTTCTTATTTAACAATGCACCTTCAAAGCCATTGTGGGGGAGTGAGACAGGATTTTGTTATGTAGCTCAGGCTGGTCTCAATCTCATGAAACTCCTGCCTTAGCCTCCTAAGGGCTATCATGTGCCACATGCCCAGCCCAGCACACAGACTCAAAAAGTCAGCAGCTCAGGCCTGGAGAGATGGCTCAGCAGTTAAGAACACTAGCTGTTCTTGCAGAAGACCCGGGTTTGAATCCCAGCACCCACATGGCAGCTAACAACTGTCCATCACTCCAGTTCCAGGGGATCCGACAGCCTCTTCTGTTCTCTGCAGGCACTGCATGACATGGATGCACTTACCTACATGCAGGCAATACACACATACACATAAAAATCATAAATAAAATATTTTTTTAAAAAGTCAGCAGCTCTTACTCCCATACATTTAAGAGTTTACCTCTAGTGGTGTCCACCTCACTTAATAGCTAACAAAGTGCCCTGGGATCAGACACTCCTATAAATTCTTGTCAAATCCTTTTGGGCAAGATGCTTCATTATTGTTATACTTAAGTAAGAAAATCAGAATCCTATTTTCCCAGTGTTATTTTTTACTAATAATCTTGGTTTTTGGAGAAGGCAGCATGGTATAACAAATAAAAGCTAAGTGTTGGGTTTAGACAAGATTAAGTTTTAATCTCACAGCCATGTTTACTGTCTGTGTACTATTAAATATGCATTATAGATCTTTTCTTTGCTTCATTTTTTTTTCCATCTGCAAAACGAACACAAAGACCAAATGCAGTAACAAATGAAGGCCAGGTCCAACACTCGGCACTCAATAAACATGTCTGCTTTTCAAGGCTAGGTTTGGATTATGAGCATAAAGTAGGTCTACACTAAGAGCTGACTTTGAGGGTACTGTTTTCTACAAAGGGAGCTTTTGGTGGCTCTTTGTTGTGACTGCTGATTGCACACATCTGCAAACTATGACAGCCAGTTTGCTTTGAGTTCAACTCAGCCCTAATATTACTCTATATAAGGCAGCGTCTAGCCTTAACCTTTCCTCAGCATGCCATAGCTTGGCTGGAATTTGGGCAGAGGGGTAGCTGTCAAAGGAAATGTACCAAGTCTGATTTTCAACTAGTAATAATGACCCAGTCCTGCATGGCTCCATTAGAAGGCTGTCCCTGGGCCTTTTGTTCCCTTTTTTTTTTTTTCTTGGTCAAAAATGCACTAGAGAATTTTAAAATTTTAATATAATGCTTCAAATGAGTGTGTGTCGGGGGGTGCTTTCTCAAAGTCACAGAGACAATAAGACATAGACTTGGAAGAAAAGCCCAGGCTTTTTGACCCAAAAGGAAGCAGAATAAGAGGAAGTGCCCCATTGGGAGATCAGCAGCTATAGCATCTCTTGTCAGAGTCTACACTGAGTAGAAAACAAGTTTAGGAACGGGGGGTGGGGGTGGGGTGTCCAAGTAAGTTTCCTTGGCCTTTAAAATCCCAAATCCCCCGAATCCAAGTTGTTCTAGTTGGGTTTCTCTTGTTACTGGGATAAAACACTGACCAAATGTAACTTGGGGAGAAGAGTTTATTTCATCTTATACTTCCAAGACACAGTCCATCTTTGAGGGAAGTCAGACAGGTACTCGAGGCAGGAATCTGGAGGGAGGAACTAAAATAGAGACCATAGAGGAATGTGGCTTACTGCTTGCTCAGTTACTCTTCTTTTTTTTGGTCTTTTTGAGACAGGGTCTTCCAATAGCCCCAACTGACCTGGAACTCACAGAGATCCATCTGCCTCTGCCTCCCAAGTGCTGGGGTTAACTCTTCTTATACCACACTCACCTGCCCAGGCATGGCACCATCCACAGTGGGCTGGGCCCTCCTGCATCAATTAAGAAAATGCCTCCACAGACATGCCACAGACCGATATGATGGAGGAAACTCCTCACCAGAGAGTCCACCTTCCCAGGTGACTCTAGTTTGTGTCAAGTTGACAAAACCAAGCAGCACACAATCTATCTGTCCACTGTCACTGGGATGGGTAGTGAGATTTGGCCAACTGAACATGTCATGTGTGAAGTCAGTGGAGAGGACCTTCATAGCATGGATGAGAGCCCAGATTTGATCCCAGCACCAGGAAAAACAAACCATCAAACAAGCTCCCCAAGCATATCATATAATCAATATCTGATTGCACAAACCCCACCATTTATAAAAGATTCCTAACACCAGGGCTGCAGAGATGACTCTGCAGTTAAGAAAAAAACTGTTTAAAGGTACACAGAGCAATTCTAAAGGAAATTCCCGTATTTGCTTACTCAGTAACCTTTTTTCCTTTTTTTTTCACCTGGAAAGCTTCCATTTTTCCCTCATTCCTTTGGTTCACAGAGCTCCTTTATTTCCAAGAGACAATTTCATGTGCTGTATTATCTCCTCTGATGTCCATGGAGAAGAGGGGACACTGTAACTGAATGCAATGGGACCCTTCCCTTGAGGGTGAAACCAGCAAGCACAACCAAAAGATAAGAGTAGAGGGAAAGCGCTGGGTTATCAGCAAAACAATGTTCTTACCAAACACTGCAAGTATGGGGATTTTATTTTAGAAGCCTATACATACTCATGTAGGAAAGTACACATGGGGTCAAGAACACTTTTTGAGCATGCTCAGTGAAGGTGTACATTTCTGAGCATGCCCAATTTAAGGTTGAAAGGAAAGATGTTCGACATGAAGCTTCAGGGCATTTGTTTTGAATGAATATTATAATGAACAAAACTTCCTTTAGGTGACCTTTGCTGTTTCCCTGTAAATTTCTCTAAGAGAGATGGCTCAGCAGTTAAAGAGCACTGGCTGCTCTTGCAGAGGCCCTGGTTTTGGTTCCCAGCACCCACACACACAGTGGTTAACAACAATCCATAACTCTAGTTCCAGGGGATCAGACACCCTCTTCGGCCTTCCCTCTTCTGGCCTCTGCAGGGACTCCATACATGTGGTGTACTTACACACAAGCAGGTAAAACACTCATACACATAAATCAATGGTACTTTTTATTTTAAAAAAAATAATAAATTCAAGCCAGGCATAGTGGTGTGTGCCTGTAGTCCCAGCATTTAGGAGGCAGAGGCAGGTGGATCTCTGTGAGTTCAAGGCCAGCCTGGACTACACAGTGAGTTCCAGGACAGCTGGGGCTACAGGGAGACCCTGCTTCAAAAAGACAAAAAAAGAAAAAAGAAATTCAGATGAATCTAAAAGGGAGAATAACTTTGAAAGTGCATTAACAGTCCTTTAAGAGGCCAGCCCCTTTTTCCCCTGTAAAAACAATTTTCCCCTAAAGATACCTTCCCTCTTATAGGCTAGTACTGAAAGAGTACGGGTTTCTATACAGCTCTGACTGGATAATATGCACCAAGAGTGAAAATACAGCCAGGGTTTTAAAATACGTGCTAGAATACCAGAAAGCATATTTCATCTCCCCCCGTTCAAGTTAAAAGCCCAGTGAATGAAATTACACCAGGTTCCTCAATTGAAACACCAGAAGTAATTCATACTTTTGGATATTACATTCCACATTTGAGAAAATGCCAGGAAACTTTTACTAGGTTGAACATACTGTCAGGAGACAAACTTCCTCAAAATTTACACAAAAGTTTTCCCATCTAATCTGTTTTCTATCTATGTCTAGTTGAATACACGGTGAGACTTTTAGTAGTCTTTCTTCACATCCACATCTAATGCCAAGCAAACAAGCTCAGTCTACCCTGAATTTGCCTTTGGGTAGCCTTGGACTAAGGAAATTCTTTTAATTTGTATAGAAAAGGACCAAAGAACTTCCAAATAAACCTACGTGCTTGGTGCTACAAATGTAAACCTATGGTCTGGAAAGAAGACCACATGTTGATGAATGACAGAAGACAACCGGAGGAGGACAGGAGACAAATGAGACACTGAAGAGACGGCTCAGTGGTTGAGACCACTTGCTGTTCTTCCAGAGGACCGAGGTTCGATTCCCAGCACCCACATAGCAGTAACAACTGTCTGTAACTCCAGTTTCAGGGGATCCGACACCTTCTTCTGGCCTCCAAGGGCACTGCACGACATGGGTGCACTTATAGATAAGCAGGCAATATATTCATACTCATAAAAGAAAAATAAATATATTTTTAAAAAGAAGACAACGATAGCTTATAGGAAGGCTCTTGCCAGCACTTATCAGCTTGTGGAAACTGAATAACAAACTGAGGGAATGACAGACTATAATGCAAACAAGATCTCTCAGATGTGGCAGGCCTGAGGTGGTGGAGCTCTGGGGCCAAACACCAGGAAGGGCGGCCTCAAAGGAGGGAACCCAGGCATCCGCCAAGGGGCGCTGGCGCATGCGCAGTAGCAGGGGCACCTCGGCAGGCGTGGTGAGGGGGACACCATTAAGGACCCAACGTCGGTGGAAGATGGCGTCCACCTTCAGGAAGTCCAATGTGGCGTCCACCAGCTACAAAAAGAAGGTGGGTCCTAAGCCCGAACTCACAGAAGAGCAGAAGCAAGAAGTTCGGGAAGCCTTCGACCTCTTCGACTCGGATGGGAGCGGCACCATCGACGTGAAGGAGCTGAAGGTGGCAATGCGAGCCCTGGGCTTCGAGCCCAGGAAGGAGGAGATGAAGAAGATGATCTCGGAGGTGGACAAGGAGGCGACCGGAAAGATCAGCTTCAGTGATTTCCTGGCTGTGATGACCCAGAAGATGGCCGAGAAGGACACCAAGGAAGAGATCCTGAAGGCTTTCCGGTTGTTTGATGACGACGAGACCGGGAAGATTTCGTTCAAAAACCTCAAGCGCGTGGCCAACGAGCTGGGGGAGAGCCTGACGGACGAGGAGCTGCAGGAGATGATCGATGAGGCGGACCGCGACGGGGACGGCGAGGTGAACGAAGAGGAGTTCCTGAAGATCATGAAGAAGACCAGCCTGTACTAACAGACCGGCCGGCCACTGTTTTTTAAAAGTCTAACAGTTGTCGTCTGTTCCCTCCCCTCCCTGCCTCATTTGTCTCAGTTGGCTTCTAAATCCCAAGATAAATTATAAATTTTAAAGATACTCGTGAGTTCTGTTTTTTAATTCTTAAGAGCAAGTCTTAACGTCCCTGAGGCTAGAGACCACTCACTGCTTGCAGACTTGCATTAAACTGAATCCAGAACAGCTAGCTTCCTGGGGCAGAAAAAAACAAAACAAACTGTGGTTCTCTTGTCACTTGGATGACTTTAAGTGACCTTGCTTCATAGATTGTTCCTTAAATTCAAATTCAGTGTGCTAACAAGATGAGGAGAAATCTGACCGTAGGTCATCCAAGCCATTGCCTTCCACCTAACTGGATACTGATTTGAAGGAGAATAATGGGGCTGGGTACTCAAGAACTTTCTAAACCCAGGAAAGATAAAAGTATAAGCTTGAGCAACCCATTTTGGGGACTCTTCCCTGCTGTAGGAAGCTGTTACCCCACTTCTCAATAAAACCTTGCCAACCTTCATTATAATACAGCATAGGCTTCCTGAATGTGGCGGCATACAGCTGGAATTCAGCACTTGGGAAGCAGAGTCAGGTGGATTGCTTCAAGTGTCAAACCAGCCTGGGCTAAATAGTTCCAGGCCATCCTGGCTACTATAAAGTGAGAACCTGTCTCAAAAAACAAAACAAGGGTTTGGGAAGATGGTTCAGTCTGTAAAATGCCTGTTGCACAAGCTTGAAGACCTGAGTTTGGACCCCCAGCTCCCATGTAAAGGGTAATGCTATCTGTGGCCCATGTCTTTTCCCCCAGGTTTGGGGATATTGCATGTGGGGTTGTCACAGATCAGATGGGAGGCTTGCTGGAGTTCACTGATTAGTTAGCTTAGCCAATCAGTGAGCTCCAGATTCAGTGAGAGACCTTGTCTCAAAATACAAGCCAGTGAGCACACATATGTACACACATATGGCCTATTACCTGCCCCCACACATGCACACACCTAGACAAACATGTATATATGCCACACACATACAAAAACAAAACAAAGGCTGGGAATGTAGCTCAGCGGCAGAGCATTTGCCTCACATTTGTGAGGTCCTTGTGAGTATAGGCCTGTCTTTTGGAGGGGTTAACTGCAATGTAGACCATTCTGTGGCTTTATTGTATGCCAGTGATTCTTTAATGAGTCTAAGATTCTAAATCACCTACTGGTAATTATCCAGGGTGAGTATGCAGACCTGGGTACAGAATAAAAATATAATTTAGTTGTGACCTAAGCAAAGTGTAACTTCTTTAAGAGATTAAGCTAACTGTTCCCCTTGTTTTTAAATTTTTTGTAAAAATATTTTCTTTTTATTTTATGTGTATGTGTGTATTGCCTGCATGTAGGTCAGTGCACCCGTGTCATGCAATGCCAATGGAGGACAGACGAGGCCGTCAGAATCCCTGCAACTGGAGTTACGGACAGTTGTTAGCTGCCATGTGGGTGCTGGGATTCAAACCCATCTCCTGCAAGAACAGCCAGTGTTTTTAACTGCTGAGCCATCTCTCCAGCCCCACTGTTTCTAAATTTTTTTTAAATTTTATGTGTATGGGTGTTTGCCTGCATGTATGTAAGTGCACTATGTGTGTTTAATGCTCTTGAAGGCCAGAAGATGACGTCAGATTCACTGGAACTGGAGTTGTGAATGGTTATTAGTTGCCATATGGGTGCTGGGAACGGAACCCAGGTCCTCTGCAAAAGCAGTCAGTGCTCTTAACCACTGAACCATCTCTTCAGCCCCTCCCCCTCATTTTTTGAGACAGGGTCTCATGTCTCCCAGTCTGGCCTCAAAGTCAGTATGTAGCCAAAGATGACCCTGAGCTTCTAATCTTTTTGCCTCTGCCACCCATATGCTGAGATTACAGGAGTTCATCACCACAATCCAGTTTATCTGGTGCTGGGCATTATACCCAGGGTGTCGTGCATACTAGACAAGCTCTCTACCAATTGAGCTATATCCCCAACCCACTTGGGTTTTTTGAGACAAGGTCTCACAGCCCAGGCTGACCTGAAACTTCTGATCTTCCTGACTCGGCCTCCCTAGTGCTGAGATTCACCATGCTTGGCTTGATTTTTTTAAATGAATATTTAAAAAGGTAATCTCTTAGTCTAGGAAATTATTTTAATTTACTATATGGGGCTAGGGGATGGCTCACTGGGTAAGTGACTTGCTGATCAAGCATGAATACCTGAGTTGAGATCCCCAGCACCCACATAAGAAAAAGCCAAGTGTGCCTCTGTAACGCCAGTGCTGGGGGTTAGGGAAGGCATGAGAAGGCAGATCCCCGCTTGTCTCTGGCCAGCCAGTACAGCCAATCAGTGAGAGACTGTCTCAAATAATAATAAATTTCAACGCTGACCTCTGGTCTCTACATACATGTGAACACATCCACACGCACACACACCACACAAAATTGAATACATTTTAAGATACTTGTCCTTGGATATACCAATGAATGTTTTAACTCTTAGAGTACTGTAAATTAGGGCTGGGTGTGGTAGCACATGCCTTTAATCCTAGTACTCAGGAGGCAGATGGATCTCTCTGAGATGGAGGCTAGCCTGGTCTATATAGTGAGTTCCAGGCCAGGTGGGGCTACAGGGAGACCCTGTCTCAAAAAAACAAAGACGACAACAAAATACTGTAAGTTAAGTGTACATATATTATTACTGTTTAACTCTGAGCTGCTGTCTAATTCCTAGAGCCTCTTGGTTCTTGGCACTTGATTTTGTTCCCCTCTGGTATATAGTTAATGTTAAAGCACCTGGGATATAAGTAGTTCTGTATTTTATAAATTCTGATAAACTATTTCATTGTGACATGAATGTGATCATACTAAGATTGTTATAAATTAAGCCTTCCTTGTTCTGGAATGAAAGCAATTGCCTAGCCATGAGTATTTACAAATCTGAAGTTGGAGAACATGGACATCTATCTGCTTAGATGGAGGTTTTGACTAATGGCAAACAGCCAAGAGACAGGTAAGATATTTCAGTCATAAATAAACCTAAAATCTTCACATAGTCTCTCATTAAAAGAAATGCTCCAATTCTGTAGAATGTCTTGCTTGTTTTATCAGCAGAGGTTAGCTGTCTCCATCACTACAACTGTTCCTCCGGAATTAATTCTCATTAACAGGCACTAATTTATCAAAGCAGCAGTACTAGCTGAAGATCACTGTGAGAAAGGGTTTTGCTGAAGTCACTAGCACAGGGCAGGGGAACTCACCCAGGCTGCAGACCCTAACAGTTCAGGTTCAGAGTTTTCATGTGGACTCAGGGGCCATGGTAGTGGGCATAGTGAAACTTAGGCTGACATCTGTGTGAAGACAGAAGACAAAGAGTACACATGGCCTTCTGGGAAGTGAGAGTTCCTGGCATCCTGTTGACTAGAGTTTTGGCAAAAGGGCTGACAAATGGATCAGGTAGAAATAGCAGAAACAAAGTTAGCAGAAGCCAGAAGGAGCCAGAGCAGCAGCCAATTGGACTGGGCTCAGTGCTGATTGCTGGCCCAGCAGAGGGTAGGAGTGAAGGCTAGGAATCTGGCTGATAAGCCGGACACATGGTGGAGTGATTGTGGGGCTTCAGCACAGTACTTAAAGGGGTGTCCGAAGGGCACAGTCCTTCCCAAATAAGGGAAGTGGGATCTGAGTCCCATTCATTGCTAAGGAAGAATCTCTCTCACTGAATACTGCACTTTTCTACTTCTGTCTTGGTTCTTAGTCTGGAGAATAGAGAGTACAGTGGGTATGAGGGCCAGGAAGAACAGGTCTAAACTGACATTTGAATTTGAGAGGTCAGTTATGCATTGGCTGTGTCAGTATCCTGGATTTCATAAAAGTAGAGTGCATATAATTCAAAGACAATGTATAAATATAAATGAAGATAAACATCTATAAAGGGTGGGAAGAACCAAAAATACTATTTTTAGTTAAGTTACCACAATGACCCCAATAAAGAAGGATAAAAAGCATACCACAGAAACCCATGTGAGCTCTTGCTTTCTGATGGTATTTGCAAACCAATAAAAAGCAGAGCTACAGAGCCAAGGATGAGAATACAACAGTGTCACTTATATTACTTTATTACTAAGAAAGACAATGATTCAAATGATCAGAGAACATTAAAGCAGTGTCTAGGGTTCATAATACATAGGAAGTCACAGCTACAACTCTTGAGATCACTGCAGGTCAGTTTCTTTGGGAAGCAGATGCTGAGATTTGTATGCAGGTGCAGTAGTGCAATGTCGTATTACAGGAAGGCTCGGACAAAGCCTGACCCTCCACATCCATTCAAACCAAGAATGAGTCCTGAACTGTTCCAAGAACTTGTTCGGATTTCTCTCAGAACTGTACCTATATCATGAAATGGGGAATAGAAAGAAGAATTTGTTTTATCAGGGCACTTTTTCTTTTCTCTCTGACCTAGAACAGCACACACAACCAGAGACAGACATAATCAATCCAATTCCACCTGCTGCTTGCAGTACAAATGGGATACTCTTACTGCTTTCCATGAATATATGCTGCTTGCAATGCTTGATATTCACAACATACACACATTATCCTGTGTCAGGAGCAAAGAAGCGTTATGAGAGACTAAAGCTCTATGCTTAGGTTACAAGAGGAGCCCAGGGCCTAGGAAACTTGTGTTTTGAGACAGTCTTAGAAGTCATTCCACATGCAGGAAATCAATTTGAGTGTACCTTCAGGATTGCACAGGGGCCTATAGAGAAGGCCATAAAGCAGCCAACTGGAAACATTCTTTTTTGCTGTTTTGAGACAGGGTCTCCATGTAGCCACAGCTGGCCTGGATTGCTATGGAGACTAGGCTGGCCTCGAACTCACAGAGATCTGCTTGCCTCTGCCTCCCAAGTGCTGGGATTAAGGCATGTGCCACCACACCCAGCATATAATACATATTTTTCTATCT